TGTAAACTAAAAGTAGGTTTAAATTGAACAATCAACTTAGCTGAATAATTGTATTGATAATACTAATTATAAACAACAAATGTGCTTTCACATCAGGTAGTATTCTGATCAGGATGTGCTACAGTCTAGAACATGGATGTTGGAATGAGACTAATGTAGATGTAAGATCATAGCAAGAAGGTACCAGAATGAACTCTGATGCACCTTTTGATCAACAGACACCACGGGCCAAGTCATTTTAGGAATGACTTTTGCACATCATTCTGTACCTCTAAGACACATTCAGCTCCAAATTACAAATGAATACATATAGATTGATTGCATGGGTGACAAGCTATTATTGTCTGCTGTAGAACTTGATTTCCCCTGGTAGTCTTTCCAGGACCTTTGTAACCAGATTCTTGTGATATGCACAGTGCTTGCTACTCTCGGATACCAAGGAGTTAAAAGTCAGAGTCCTTCCTGCATCCCATCTCTGTTTTACATGTAATAGCCCTTGGGCCATACAACTTTGGGCCACACAACTTGACACTACAACAGGGGGCTAGTCCATTGCAATGGTCACCAAGATGACCTGCTATTAAATATGACTATAACCATCATTGCAGAATGTATATGTGACATGTCATATAACCAAGAATCTTCAAACATCAACCAGTCCCATATTATTGAATTCTCATGAAATCAGGAGCTAAACAGAATAAATGAATACTTTTGGCTGTTAATCTAAATATCGGCATGCCAAAGCTTTTCATCTTTGTTTCATAGATGTAACCTATAAAAATGAAAAGAAACAATTGCATCTAATGGTAAAAGATTGATGTCTGATTTTACAAAAAGTAAATTCCCATCTTTCCCACAGCAGCTCAGATTCAGAACCAAGGCTAACACTAATCTGTTGTGCACAGTTTATGTTATCAGTATTAAAATAGTTATTCAATTCAACTAACTTATCTAAAACTTGAGTTGTGTACAACAGATCAGTTTTAGCCTTGGTGCTGAATTTGAGCTGCTGTGGGAAAGATGGGAAATGTTTGGGCTTCAAACTTACTCAAAGAAGGAAAATGTACATTTACTTCAGTTTATAAAGTTCCAGATGATAGTGATAAAGCTGTGGCCATGTTTGTAGGGTCTAAACCCCTAACAAAAATGAGAAAGTCTAAGATTAAGATTCTGTACTTACCATGTTCGTGGTAGAATGTGTTGTCAAAGGCTGGCCCAGTGTTTGATGTTCCGTTCTGCCGGCTCCAGTCAAACTGATCTACAGTGTCCAATTCATACCATCCACACATCTCATCTTCAAAGTCACACCTTGCTCCTGGGGGCATCTTGGCTGGAAAGGGACATCACAAGTAATGGGAGGTTAGCAAGGTCAACTCTCTTAAGACAATAGGGCATTACGTCAAACTATAAGGTTGCTATGGTTGAAAGTTCTTGTTGATTTTATATTTAGGCCACACCAATTTAATTTGTTGGTTCTCGGATTTTTTCATGAAAAATGTGAAGCGACAGGGCGAAAAAAAAAAAAAAACATGCCCAAATGGTAAAGCTAAGGCTGGAAAAAGGGATTGAGAACAATGCTATGCCTATACATGCTAAAACATTGCTGTTTTATAGCCTATGTATCAAGGATCAATTATTGATGTTAATAATCTGCCGAATAAACATATCCCCCCGGAATAAACATACCCCCCCCCCGGACAAATTTTCAAAATCCAATAAAAATACCCCCCGGAATAAATTTACCCCCCGGAAAA